ATATAATGTTATAATTGATAAATAGACTTTTTGTTATAAATCAAAAGTACATTGCCCTTTTGGAGCAAAATGAGCAAACTCATAAAAAAATATACAACATTAAGAACCAAAAACATATTATGTAATATTAGGATAGTTTATTATAAGATTAATGAAAGTATAAGATAGTGTGAAAAGTATGAAAAGTACATCATCGTAGTTGAAAGTATATTGCTTAATTGATTATGCAGATTCAGTAATGTTAATAAAAAAAGTACATCATTATATATTACATTGTTAACACATGTTTAGAAAAAAAATTATGTGTATGGTCCTGTTAATGAAACATTTATTTTTATTAAAACCCACAATAATTGATTGTTGCAAACAAACAAACATAAAACATGGCTTAATCAAATGTCAATATTTAAACTGTAAACTAAACAGTTGAGAAAATGATGATTTTCCAGAAGAGAGAAGTACGAACGAAAAGAACATATAAGATAATTAAACAAACACCTGATGTGTTGAACTTTATGAAGCATATGAAATTAAAAAAATATGAATGAGACTTTATCCGATGCAATTGAAATAGGAGAGAAGATGAATAATGAATTTCAAAATGATGGATTCATGTATAGAGGTATATATATTTATATATATTCAACTAATGGTAAAAATATCTTGAAATATAATCCCTGATTTCTTGTTTTGATTGTTATTGAAATTGGATGGATATAGAAAATAAATATTTTGGTTAAATGATTTTAGTGGAATATCGCAAAAAATACAGAGTAAGTAAATTGATCAAAAAATATTAAAAAAATTTGTGTTTTAAATAATTCAAGTTTGCAAATTTGAAATCTCTGATTTTCTAGTTTTTAAATGAAAAGTAAATAGATGAACACATCTTTGGAAATCGAGTGTCAATTACTTTAATTGAGTTTTATTTATATCTCGGTATTACAGAACAATGAAAAAGAACTAATATTTATCAATTTTTACATGAAACTTAAGACTTTTTCAACTTTATAAAATATGTCTTTTAAGAAGATAATAATATTGATGTCTATTATTCTATTATTTTTACTCCAAAGTATATCATATAATGATTGTGGAAATAAAATAAATATGTTGATTAGGTCAAAAAGGGGAAATTAGTCAGCAGTGACTTGACTGATTAGAGCATCATGACCTAATAAATCTTACGTTGACTGGTAAATAATATACTCCCGCTTATTTTGCACATAAATAAACTTTTTTGTTTTCTTCCTTTTCAAATATCTTGATTTGGGTTGGTGCTATTTAATCAATAATTGGCTATTTAATCAAGGTACATCTTCATGGGTGCTTTGGTGCTATTTTAACCCGGTAATCGTTGTTTTAAGTTTGGCTCTAACCTATAAAAATGATGATATATTCTTGAAAAACGGTTCAATCAACTTTTTTTAAAAATCTCGGTTTTTATCTAAAATCTAACATATAAACAACAGTCTGAATCACACTAATACCAATTCTAAAGCAAGATTTGTACTGGATTTTAGAATCCCGACTGAATAAGTCGTTATTTATGCTAAAAATCTAATATGTCCATTCTACTCGAAATCGAGGCTTAAAAATCCATCGATTAGACTCGCAATCAAGTATTACATATCACAAGAAGCCTTATAGATCTTCACAACTTCATCAATTCAACTCGAATTAGAGAGAGCATTGCGACAAACATGTTACTCCCTTTGTAACTTACGTCTTTAGGTGTACATGGTCATGATGATTTTTTTTGTACATAATATGTTTTTTCCTAATTATTACGGTTTGCATCTATAATAATTATGATTACTATATTAAAAAATAAAGTTGATTGCACCGTTAATTACTTAATTAACATCAAGTTATAATAAATAGAGAAAATTACAAAACTAACCATTTTTCCTTAATTACTTTTCAGTTTTTAGCAAAAAAAATAGCAATTATTCCAAATTAGCCACCGAAAATGTACATCTTGACTACGGTCAAAGAGGAAAAATAATTGACTACTCTTTTAGGCAATGGGCTACTGTTTGGTGGGCCGTCTACTTTTTTAATGTCCGTTGGCCCACAATATACAAAGTTGAAATTTTCATTAGTGCTTATTTTTTTGTGTATTTTAACATAAGAAAACTCTTTCAATGGAACCTTCAAAGAACGACTATATATTTCTTCGAATCTTCGACCTTTTTTTTCATGTTTACAATAAGATTTAATACATACATTTTTCTTTTGGAAAAAAATCGAAAAAAAAAAACAAAATCGTAATGTTCATAAGATACCTACGGTGTACAAGCAGTCAATGCACAAAACATGCATTGATTGCTAGTACACCGAAGGTTTCTTATGAAACCTACGATTTTCGTAATTTTTTTTCGTTTTCTTTTTTATTTTGTTTGTAGATTGTATATAACGACCTATAATTGTGATGTAGTGATTTTTGTTATAAAAAAAGCGAATAATAATAATAATAATAATAATAATAATAATAATAATAATAATAATAACAACAACAATAAAAATAAGGGAAACCGTAGGTTTCGTAAGAACCAACGGTCTTAGTAAAAAAATTTGGTAATTTTAATGTAAGCTATGTATGTCGTACTCATCCTACTGCCATTTATAAAAAGGTAAGCCAATGTTAAAATAGTTATCATAGTACAATTCCAAAATCATAAATATGCAAAACATGGGTGGATGCGCTGCGATCAGGTCGGGCCCCTTCCCCTTCGAGCTGGAAGAACCTAAAACATAAACTTAAACCGTAAGCACAAAGCTTACTAAGTTTCCCCAAAATATCACATACCATACATACAATGGGCCTCGCCCAGTACAAATCTGTCTGTAGAAGGCGATGGGCCTTGCCCAACACATTCATCAGGCCTCGTCTGGCATCGGACCTCGCTCGGTATACATACAAACACACACACAGACATCTAGCATTCTAATAACAATAATCAATGGGTCGACATTAGTGCCTTCGACCCGCCAAAACACTATGTGAAGACTCACCTCAATCTGATGATAAGCAATCACATGCAAGTTACTGCTAGAACGGCGCCTCACATTGAACACATTCAAACCAACCCTAATAACTATTTAGGGTAATAAACCACAACGAAAAGCCCAAATCATAATCCCTCCCAAAAAAGGTAAAAGACCCTTTTACCCTTCCTACCCTAGGCCCAACAAGCCATGGCCTATAATGGCCCAAACCAACCCCAAGGCCCAAAATGGCCTAAACTAACCCCAAGGCTCAAATAATGACCCAAAGGTCCTTTAGTGAGTATGTTATGTGTACCACCCTGTTATGCTCCACGTACAAGCTCTAACAACAAGGGAAAAATGTGGTTGAACACAATAAGTTGTGTGTACTCATATTTACGCCCCGCATACTCCCCTGATGGCCAAAAATCACATTAAGCACTTAATGCATTATGCCCAAACGTCCAAATCACGGATCTTGCTCTTGGGAAACGTCTTAAATGATAATGTCATCAACTTGATGCCCTTGCATGGATCAAAGAGACCCAACACCCATTTTTAACATTCTAACTCCATAATATGAACATTAACTCTTGCATGGTTGAGTTAAAGCCATCAATATGTCATTTTAATGTATTAAGGACCTCAAAAATATCAAGATCTACTATCCTAAGCTTCTGGAGTAGCTTATACTCACATGAATCAACCCAAGGGACCAAAACATGCCAAAAACCCTAAACTAACTAGATCTAAGAGATGAATCAACAAGGTTGAGACTTTATACCTCCAGAAGAATGGTCAATGTGAGCAAGGTATGGATCTACAAGCTTCAAACCAACAATTGCTTCTCCAAAGGGTTCTTCTTTCTTCAAGATGTACCAAAAACACACCAAAACACACAAAAGGCTCAATACTCTCTAAAAGGGGCTAGGGTTTCATGGGAATTGCTTTGGGACGAAGGAGGTTGATGATAAAAGAGGTCTTGAGGTCATAAGGTGCTTAAATAAGGTCCAAACCCAAAATTTTAGGGTTTGCCCCCGACTCGAGTATGCCCTGCGTACTAGGGGGAAAACCCCATGTCTAAGCTCGACAAGGTATGCCCCACGTACCTTCATTACGCCCTACCTAATAGGCCATTATGCAAAATAAATAAACACTTAGAATTCTAAGGAATTACCTGGGAACTGGGTGTTACAAAGGGCATTAGTTTTTATAAGAAAGCATAGAAGATTGTTATTTGTTCATTCTGTGATGAGATATCATTTTCTATTGTATACTAATTAGTTAACATATTATAACGTTTGTTTAGCTTTTAGTACTTTATTTAGTTTATAACATGTTTTACAAATATTTAGTGTTTATTTAATTCTCAGCATGTAAATAAAGCAATGATGGCTAGTATATCGGTAAAATCTTCATGCCATAGATTACGGGAAGTGCTTAGCCGTTTAGACCCAACACGTCATCACGGGATGTTACTTCATCAATTGCGATCGACTCCAGAAATGGATGCGGCGGAGCGTTTACATTTGGGGACTTCTCGGCATAGCTTGTCATTCGGTCCCGAGGAGTTTTTTCTGGTTTTCGGATTTCACATTGGTCGGTGTCCTATATCAAGAGTAGAATTCAACACTTTTTATACACACAATTATGGTGTTGATACATTTCGCTCACGAGTCTTCCCACATCGCAGAGACGCTACATACCTCGTTTTTTATTTAGAGAACCTTATAATAAACGAGCGATTTTATGCATATTCAGTCAAGGACGGTGTGAGAGTTGTTGTGTTATATGTTCTTAATCAGGGTTTTTTTAGGAAAAGAGGGCAATGACAAAGTAACAAAGGAATGGTTGTATTTCACCATCATTTAAAAAATGAACGTCTTGTTTTACAGATTAATTATCGACTTGATTGACCACGGCTAGCGGTTTGTGGTCAAAGTAATCATGTGCACCCACATCATTAAGATGTGTATCGACATTATCATCACCAACATACTTATAATTATGGGGTTCCAAATACATAATCGGTTCTGACACTACGTTTACATTTTCAACAACACTATGATAATGAGATATACTTGGAGTTCTAAAAGTACCTACTGGGTTGTTGCTCCCTTTTCCACTAGATATGTTAGCTGCAAATACTTTTCCTCTATGAGCTACTTCGTTAGCCTCAACACCTTCTTCAACCACCACATACACATACACATATTTAGCTCCAACGTCATTTATTACATTGATCAACCTTCTAATGTCACGATCATCAATAATAGAACAATAATACAGTTGCTCAGCATGTTGATAAGGCAGACTGATTTTTGATTCATTGAGAATACTAGTCTTACTTTTCACCAAATGAACAAATTCACTGAATGTGGTGGTTTCGTAAAATTCAACACCGTAACGAAACATTCTCGGAATGTATCAAGGTGGCCATAAATATGATAATCGGGAATCAACAAACTCTCATTTTCCGTCAGCGATAAGCAATACGAAATACTCAATTGAACTCATACTATAATTTTTTTAGAGAAAACAATATCAGAAAAATGAAACACTAACTTATAAATCATAACATTCTTGTATTATATAGTAGGTATGATGTAATAGTCAAAATACCTAAAACAATAGTCAACTTATACCAAATAGTAGTCAAATATTCAAAAAAAAGTACCATAACCGTAGGTTTTTCGATGAAACCGTAGGTTTCTTGAAACCTACGGTTTGGGAAACCGTATACTTATCAAATGATACCGTAGGTTATTGAGAAACCTACGGTTTCGTATGGTTTTTTGAAAGAAAAAAAAAATCTTATATACAAAGACTGAAACTGTAGGTATTTGGCGAAACAGTAGGAGATTTAAGATACATACGGTTTCATTGGTTATTTTGGGATAATTGATAATTTTTGGTTAAAAAGTGATGAGTAATAAATAAAAATGGCTATATTAATCATTTTATCTAATAAATATTGCACAAATAAAACTTTGTGAATAAAATTTGAAAAATAGTTTATTTTGGTAGGATTTCCTATCAAATCTTATAAGCAGGAGTTAATAAAACGTAAAACAATCATCATAAATCATAAATAACTAGGTGAGTTACCCCGCGTTGCGGGGCCAAATGTGTGATTTTAAAACACAACATCCTTATGAACAGCACCTAACCCCGGGTACTGTTCATAAGATATGAAGATACTAATTTTCCAACAAATTTGAGAGTTTTGACCCCTGTTATAACCATTTTATGTTTTTAGTAATAAACGAATTTTTGACAAATCACTTGAATTATTCCTTCTACAGTTCTACTTTTACCGCCTTTACTGTGAGTGCAGAATGGTGCTGATCATAATCAAAATTTACCTTCAATAAATAGAAAAGAAAAGTTCTAATATTGTTGTACTGAGTTTGCCCTTTTCACTATTATTTGTTTCTATCGTGTGGGCAGGATCCTCTTGCTTCCATAAGTGACCAAGTCTCTGTTTCTGCATCAAAATCCCATACACTTGGTAGGGAAATTCTCCCTCCAATCAAAAGCAAATTCTTTCCCCAAGGAACCTAATACAACAAAAAACAATATTACTAAATTTATAATTAAAATCAACAAATAGCAATGTATTTGTTTGTTTATTCTAATAATAGTTAATAAATACCAAACAACGACCCTTGCATGCTGGAATCTTGAGTGCAAGAGTAGATGGTGAAAGGTACAATCTTGATGAAGCTGTTGTCCATGAAAGATTTTCAAAATTGAGAACCTGAAAAAGCATACACATTACACAACTCTTAGTAATATGCATACAGCAAGTGTATTTTTAAGCAAAAAAATCTATCAAAAAAGCATTTCATGATTTAGCAAGTGATTATATTGCTAAAATTCTACAATAATTGAAGACAAATAAATGGGAAAATATATACTGGTCTAACAATCCATTTCTAGATTCACCACCAACAATAATCATCTTCTTTCCAATTACAGCTGCTGCTTGGTATTTAGGAGCAAAGGGTAAACATCCATTCACCTTAAAGTTAAGATAAGTATTCCATTTTTGGTATCTTAGGTCACTAAACTTTCTAAATTTGGACTGCTTTACCATGCTGATGTGGCAGGAAAAATATTGCTCAGTGGAAGGAAATTAGAAAAGTTTATTGAGCTAAATGGAATGGTATGATGCTAAGCAACCTGTCCACAACAAAATCCATCACTCATGTTGATGCTGTGTTCTACTTCACCTAAAATTCTGCCCAATTGGCAAACAAATACACTACAGAATGGAATCCATCCGTTTTTTTGATTCTGTGGGTTAGTGGGTTTATTTATGTGTGTGGGTAGTTGGGTAGGTAGGTGGATGGGTGAGGTCGGAAGAGATGATGATTATATAAAGTGATTCGGCAAAAATAAAGAGGCAATAGGAGAATATTTTCATTTTCATTTTATAATAAAACATAAGGATTGTAATCTAAATTTTTTTTTTTTTAATCAAAGAATGAATAATTTGTGTGAATTCATGATGAATTATCAAGAGACATAAGTTATAAAAACTAACCTGGGAATAATTCTTAATGACCATATTATACAATAATGTTTTGTTCTCAGCATCCTGCGACAACCTGGTAAGATCAAACATGATTATTTCTCATATACACTTTGTCAATCGGTAATTAGTAAATTATGATGTTTCAGATTTACAATTACATGTAATCTTTGATTTAAAATATGGAAAATGAAAACACATCCACCACACCTATCATTACTCACACTTGGATGACCGCTACAGCTGTAAAAGACATCCTGAAAGATTATATTTTTGTTTCTGTTTGATGGCCTTCTTCACCAGGTCTAACAATTTCACTGATCCAGTCGAACAATAACTTATATAAATTTGCAACTGTAGGTCTTCCCCTAGACAACTGAAGGAAATTGAAATCAGCTAATTGTATGGTTTGTGATCAGAATAAAATTAAATTATTAGCAACTGGGATTAAGAAAAATTTCATTGATTGAATAAAAGAGATACAGAGTGTTTAAAGTAGTCATATGCATGATGTTCATATGACATGTAAGGGATCATAATGAGTCCCTAGCTAGCCCTAGAAACTTCAAATTTGATCAAATTAAAGCACAATCAGAGTAATAATTGGAAACCTAGCTCCATAATCGCATATAAAATATAGCCAATGAAAAAGCTAATGCGAAAATTCCCAAAAATATAAACATACAGATAATATGAACTGAGATTAATGGCAATTGCATACCTAATCATAGATTACGAAAGATTTTCCCGAAAAAAAAAGCTAAAAAGGACAACGCCAATCAGCTGCACTTGTCCATTTGAAATGCACTTTCGTTGGGGATTCTTATCAAACATATGGTATGCGTCCCCTGCCTCATGCCTACGACTTATCTTCCTATATCAACCAAATCAGCCCACTCCAAAACCCTATCGCTGCTATTTCATCTTTACTTACATACCGGTCAAAAAGTTACACACACACACACACACGGAGAGATAATGGAAATGTTTCAGTCACCACCCTCACATCTTCTTCTTCTCCTTTGATCACTAAATTCCCTGACCCTTTGAAAGCTTCCTCAAGCCTAATTAGCCCAACCCCATGAGACCCAAGAACAGTTGTCACCATTCCCACTTTCTTCCCGGATTTCATGCCCATTACTTATGAACTCGGAGCAACCTTCTGCACTACCTATGTTGAAAAAAAAATGATAATTGTAATTTGTGATGAATCAAAATTGAATAGTGACTTGTGATTCATACCTTTTCCAGATTGTTCAAGGAATCTGAGTGGAAACAAATACCTGTCGGTTAGCCTCATCAATGGCAGCCCAACCCACATAAACGAAATTAAAGCCCCATAAACTTCTTGGACCGTCTGTGTCTGTCTATTTGCGTGTGTATCCCAAGCTGTCGTTCTCAACATTGAAAAAGACGACCCCTCTTCTTGCGTCTCGATCACATGCACTTTCTCGCAAAGCCAATTACTAATCCTTCTCTCTTCTAAATCGAAATCGCAGACTGGATCTGAAGATGATGATGATTGGTGACTGGTGTGAAAAATGGTACCTTTTTATATAAGCCCATTTGGAGTCTGAACATCTAAGCATATGTGTTCTAATGCAGCATCAACAACCCTTTATATTTCCAAATCTAATGCAAGATATAGATTCATTACATCAGAAATGAAAGTTAAATCACTTTCTCAATAGAATCAGATGTTGAACTTACTATAGGTTTTGATGTATGTATCTTTTGGTATTGCTCTTGAAAGTTCACCTTTTTTTTACAGCTGATTGAATTACCACATAGCTCCTTAACATGAAGCATCTTGAGTCTTGACAACTTTGGCTGCATATGTCGTCTGTATAAATGAATGTTCAAACTCGAGTCTTTAATTCATAGGTATTATCATATCGGAAGTGTGTTAGGGTTACAGATTAGCTGGTGTTACCTTGTTGTTGGGTTTGGGGGTGGTTTTTGAGCGCTGGTTGAAGCAGAAGAGTTGTTCCTGGAAGAAGAACCTGGAATTGGTGATTTTACAGGAAAATATATGTTCTTCTCTGCGTCATAATAGAACCCTGGAAGGTCTATCAAGAAAAAAACATTTATACAATCAATTTGCCTCATAGTTGTTGATGAAATTAGCTAAAGAAGAAAAGTTAAGAGGGGAAACCTTGTGGCATCTTGTTAAATTATTTAGAGCAAGAGTAACGAATGAAGCTGATGAAAAAAATCGTGAAGAAGTGGGGTGGAGATGAATCAAGATGTATACTATTCTAAATAAAAACCAAAATAAACTAAAGCCTACCGGGATGGCTTTGAGGAATCTGTAAACAAAAAACAGAAAGGGTGAGTGAAGTAGGCAGGAAAGCAACAGACGCCTCCTGATTCGAAATAAGGGAAGCAACCTAACAATTTCTGATCAGAACCACAATGACCCAATATAGCCCTAAATCACACAAAATAACACATCATATCATCATAAAAGAACATAATCAAAAGGAAAGAAGAAAGTCAGAAGAGAAACCTGAAGAACAGAAGAATCGCAGGTGGAAAATTAGATGGAGGCAAATGTGCAAAACCCTCGGGAAGCGTCAATCGCATTTACTTGTAGAAAGACATTTGAGTATGTAATGAGAAGCAGCAGTCGGTCTTTAGTGCTGGGTTACTGTCGGTAGCACAAATGGAGAGAATAGCGGGTATGGCGGCGCTAGGCAGCCACCGTAGTGAGGGCCGACGATCTCACCGGAGAAAGATGGATCAGATGGAAAGAATTCGTGACATGAAGAAGAATAGGAGCAGAACACATATGAATGGAGGAAGCGGCGGTGAGCAGAAGAAGACAGTCAGCGATTTCGGATTTAGGAGAAAAATTCAACCAAAGGGGAACCTGTATTGATAAGGCGGTGACAGTCGGATCAACGGCGGTGGGTTACAGAAATCGGAATATTATTGGCTGGGAAAACGAAAGCACAAACAACACGTGTACGGCAAGAATGCAGACAATGACCCAAAATAAATAAATAAAAGAAAAGAAGCACACCAATGGAACTGCAATTGGCCACCGTTATGGTGAAGAAAACATAAGAGAAACACGTAGACACCGTTCTTGCGCAATTTAACATGTGCTGACTGTTTCTATTCCTGCGCAAATTAGCATGAAGTCACTATTCCTAAGAATTGTCCAAGTTTAATATGTATATAAATATGCTGAGCTTAAGAATCTTGATTCCAACTACCTGACAAGCTTATTATATGCTGATGATAAATGAGTGATATATCAAATTTCAGGGGTCAGTATTTGCCCATCTTTTTTCAAATACTAATAAAACATTTAATATTAAAAATAAATTATTTTAAGTTTTACAAACATACATATATACACACAATAAGAAATATCACCATTAGTGACGTCACATGCTTTCATTACGACATCTAGGGGTAAACAAAAACCTAACCGGAAACCGTAAAAAACTGCATTAAACACAACAAAAAAAAATTGTAACCGAGACAAAAACCGATGATACGGTTTTACTTTTGCAAAAACCGGAAATACCTGAACCGCTCCACACACACACACACATATATATGAAAATTGAATATACCCTAAAATGTATATAAGTTTAGGTACGCAAACTTACTATACTACGTCGTTTTGTATCATATATATTGTAATCGCCCAAAGTTTTTTAAATTCAACTCCTAACTTGATTTACTTTCGAGATTTTTAGAAAATTCACCATTATTTTTCTCTTACGTAATTATTATTTGCAACTAATATATATATATATATATATATATATATATATATATATATATATATATATATATATATATATATATATATATATATATTAGTTGTACTACTTAAATTTTAAATTTTAAATGATTTATGCTTACAGTTTTCTGTTTATGTTTCAGGTATTTCTGGTTTGAAGGAGAAGAGCTCGGGATGATTACACTGCACACACCACGTTGTTCCGCATTTTATATGATTCTGATTGTACTTGCATATTATTTGATATACTCTGATTTCACTATAGTTTTATGATATTGTTATGGATAATGGTTTTATTAATACAAAAATCAAAATTTTTGGTTTTAATTTTTGGGATGTTACACATTTATTGCTTTGATGTTTATGTTTATATATATATATATATATATATATATATATATATATATATATATATATATATATATATGATGCTATATATGGACGTTCCTAGTGAACGGTGTTCCAGCTTTAGTTCTTTTTTATTCGGGTGCCACCCAATCGTTCGTATCGCTTTCCCTCAACAAGAGATTCGGTGATGCTCCAGGGGAGCTTGAGTATTCGTTAGAGGTAAAGATCATCGACGATCGTCCAGTGCGAGTATCGAGGGTTCATAAGGGTTGCGTATTGGAGTTATTTGTCAAGCAATATCCGATTGATTTGGTTTCTATCCCTTTGAGTGAGAGCAAGGTTATCGTGGGGATGGATTGATTGAGCCCTAATGGGGGCAATGATTGATTGTGAGCACCAGTTAGTTCGGGTTCGAACCCCAAGTGGGGGAGAACTAGTTATACGTGGTGAGGGTGCTCAGCGGGGACCAACTCCCTGTTCAGATGTGAGAGCTAGGAGGTACCTTCAACAGGATTGTTATGGTTTTGTGGCTTATGTATTGGATATTAGAGAGGATAAGAAGAGGACGATTAATGTTGTGTCGATTGTTCGATAGTATTCTGATTTTTTCCCGTAGGACTTGCCTGGATTGCCTTCGGAGAGATAGTTTGAGTTTCGTATTGATCTAGTCTAGGTACGGCTACGATAGTGAATAAACCTTATCGGTTAGTAGCGTCAGAGATGCAAGAGATGTTACACAAGAGATTTATCAGGCCGAGTTGTTCACCCTGAGGAGCACCGATACTGTTTGTGAAGAATAAAGATGGATCCCACAGGATGTGCATCGACTATCGAGAGCTGAACAAGTTAACAGTGAAGAACCATTATCTTCTACCGAGGATTGATGATTTGTTCGACCAGTTATAGGGTACGTCTTGGTTCTCGAAGATTGATCTACGTTCAGTCTACCATCAGATGAGGGTTCGAGATGAGTATGTTCAGAAGACGGCCTTTAGGACTCATTACAGTCATTACGAGTTCGTGGTGATGTCATTTCGGCTCACCAATGCACCAGCAACGTTCATGGACCTCATGAACAGGGTTTGCAGGCCGATGCTAGATCGGCCAGTGATTGTTTTCATTGATGATATCTTGGTATATTTTAAGACCAAGGAGCAACATGAGGATCACTTGCGAGAGCTTTTGTAGACTTTGAGGTGGTAGAGGCTTTATAACAAATTCTCCAAGTGTGAGTTATGGTTGCACGAGGTGCAGTTCTTGGGACACCTCGTCAATCAGAAGGGTATATTGGTCGATCCAGCCAAGATCGAGGTCGTGATGCAGTGGGAGGTTCCAAGGTCTCCATATGAGGTTTGGAGTTTCCTTGCCTTAGCAGGTTACTATCAAAGGTTCATTGAAAACTTCTTCAGGATCGCAGTTCCGTTGACCAGGTTGATGAAGAATTCAATTTCTTTTTGTTGGGGGCCTGAGCAGCAACCGACGTTTGAGACTCTGAAGCAGAAGTTATGTGAGGCTCCGGTTTTGACTTTACCAGAGGGTGTGGATGACTTCGTGGTATATTACGATGCGCCGATTTTAGGATTGGGTGTGGTGTTGATGCAGAGGGGGTCATGTGATTGCTTATGCTTCGAGGCAACTGAAGCCTCATGAGGCAAATTATTCCACCCATGATTTGGAGTTGGGGGCTATGGTTTTTCCCCTCAAAATTTGGCATCATTACTTGTGTGGGGTTCATTGATTCATTTACAAGGACCACAAGAGTTTGAGGTACTTGATGGATCAGCCAAATCTAAATATGAGGCATCACAAGTGGCTCGACGTGGTGAAGGATTACAATTATGAGACCCTTTATCACCATGGAAAGGCTAACGTAGTGGTTGATGCTCTTAGCCGCAAGATGGTTGGTACTCCTATCAAGGATTTGTGTTTGAGGATGACAGTGATGACTCCACTCTTGGATCAAATTCGCGAGGCTCAGATTGAGGCTATGAAATAGAAGCACCAGAAGAGCGAACGTATAGTGGGTCAGGTGTCCTCTTTTGATTATGATAGTCGAGGATTTTTGACCCTACATTGGAGAGTTTGGGTTCCGTATTTGGGAGGCACTTGTCAGATTCTAATGGAGGAGGCACATAAGTCGAAGTTTTATATTCATCCTGGTGCGACTAAGATGTATAGAGACCTCCGACATGGTTATTGGTGGCCCTGCATGAAATGGAATGTGGCATGGTATGTGGAAAGGTGCTTGACTTGCAGGAAAGTCAAGGTCGAGCATCAGCGACCACATGACAAGATGGAGCCGTTGGGTGTTCCCGTCTGGAAATGGGAAGAGATCACGATGATTTTCATCATGAAGCTACCATAGACAGCGCGAGTGGTGGATTCGATTTGGGCCATTGTGGATCGGTTGACCAAGAGTGCGCATTTTATTTTTATTCGGGAGAGCATCTCTGTAGAGAAGTTGGCAGATGTTTATATCCAGGAGGATTTTGTACGACATGGGGTTAGGTACTCGACTGCACTTCAGCACGAATTTTCATCCGCCGACTGATGGACAGAGTGATCGGACTATCCAAACTTTGGATGATATGCTTCAGGCATGTGTGTTGTTTTGGTAGTAGCCGGGTTACGTATCTCCCATTGGCTGAGTTTTCTTATAACCAAGGTTGTAGAACTTGTTACTCGGTATCTGTTCGGCCGACTACCGAGTAGCGAGTACCCGGGAGTACTCGGGGAGTACTCGGATTCGGTAATTCATGTAGAAAATATTTTTAGGGAAATTTATATATGTCAAAATCATAAGTTAAATCATAAGTTGATTGAAATATATAACAAAATTAGATACATGTGAATAGACAAAAGCTAAAAAAACACATAATGGTCTGACTTCGTGAATAATTACTGAAAATTTAAGATATATACGTAGTAATAATCACACATGTGTGTTAAATAATAAATCATTAAGTATATTATACATATTAATCACCGAGTTGACCATGTTTTACAACACTACTCAGTTCAGTAAGGGGTCGACCGGGGAGTACTCGGGATTCTGTAAATCGCCTCGGTAAGGGGTCGAGTAGCGATTACTCGGAAGAGTAATCGGCCAACTCGGAGAGTTTTACAACACTGCTTATAACAATAGCTACCACACCAGTATTGATTGACCTCCTTTTGAGATGCTCTACATGAGGAAGTGTCGGACCCCGGTTTGTTGGGGCGAGATCGGTCAGTGAGTCATGGGTAGCATGGAGGTGTTGCTTCGGACTACTGAGTTGATTCAGTAGGTGTGCAAGAGGTTGCAGACCACGTGGAGCCAACAGAAGAGTTATGCTGATAGGCGCCGATCATATTTGGAGTTTCAAGTCGGAGATATGGTACTCCAGAAAGTGTCACCTTGGAAAGGTGTCATCCGGTTCAGGAAGTGGGGCAAGTTGGGCCCTAGATATATTAGTCCTTTCAGGTTTATTCCCAGGTGGGTAGGGTTGCATACTGTTTGGAGCTACTCGAGGAGCTCAGTTAGATTCACAACACTTTGCACGTCTCTCAGCTGCAGAAGTGTTTGGTTGATGACTCTGCAGTGGTGTCATTGGAGAATATTAATGTGGACGAACGCCTAAACTATATAGAGAGACCAGTTGCGATCCTCGATAAGAGGACCAAGACCCTGATAAACAAGGTGGTGAGCTTGGTGAAGGTGCAATGACAGCACCAAAAAGGCTCAGAGTGGACGTGGGATCCTGAGGTGGAAATGATAGAGCACTATCCAGAGTTATTCGCGACAACAGACTTCGAGGACGAAGTCTGATTCAAGTGGGGGAGAATTGTAAGTTTGTAACACCTATTATTCCAATTATTTTCATTTCCAGCCAAAAGTA